TTAGAAGATCAGGGCACACGTAGCAGCTGGGCTGGAGGCTCGCATTCGCCGTGTGCCTTGGGCAGAACCATGCGTCGGGTTCGGACAAAAGAGCCCCCTGTGTCTGTGAGTGTGCGTGTGCGTGCGTGCGTGCGTGCGTGCGTGCGTGCGTGCGTGGGTGTGTGTGTGTGGGTGGGTGTGTACTGTGGTTTCTGCCTGCGTGCCCCATGTCTGAACTTCATGGGAAGCATGGAGCCTGCGCATGTCCCCAGGTCAGTGTCAGTCGTCAAGCATCGACTTCCTGGCCTGTTTTTGACTTCGCCGGACTTGCCCAGTTCTCATTACGGACATTTGCCCTCACGCTGGCCATGGAGTCTCGGTGTCAGATCGGTTTAAGCTCTCAGCTTTAGATCGGTCGAAGTTCCTGCTGCTGCGAGCATGCGGTCAAAGATGCAGGCAGGGAAATGGTGCACCGACCCCTGAAACACCCACTAAAGCCTGCAGGCGCAAGCAAGCTCTGGCACACACTTCGTGCGTGTTAAGAAGGACCGGAAGCAAGTCACAAACAGCCGCGGCTCGGTGTGTCCTGGAGTGTCCAAGTGAGGAGCAAATCGTGAAGATTGAGAAGGCGGCATCTCGCAGCGGCAAAAAAGGTCCCGACCAGGAGACCATTCCTGTAGCCAGCAGTTGCGTGGCTACGGCTTGCAAGCGACGATGTTCGTATGGAAGGAAGCGGCGCCCCGGGAACCTTTGGTGCGTGGCATTCTACTGCAGGTGAAGCAGGCGCCGCAGCCTTGCAAAGGAGAAAGGCAGTCTGGCACGGCAGCTTGGCGTGCCCGCTTGTAGGAGCGTAACCCAGCTGACACCTCTGAGAAGTCAGTGTCAGCACAGGCCGGGCTGCGAGTCTTTGTTCTCCATGCTTTGCCTCAGTTACACGACACTTCATTACTCCCGCAGGCTCCATCCTTCCGAGCGCGTGGGAAGCAAAGTTTGTGCTCCGCATCTGCTTCACAGGTTGCCGGGCTGTCCTTCGCATGCTGCCCACGTTGTAGCTTGAAACATACGCCAGGTCAAGCCCACGACCAACAAGGGCAGAAAGTACAAACGCCACGTGGAAGACGAGATCTCTTGCTATGGCAGGCACACCAACTACCTCTCGATCATGCTCCTTTGCTGCAACAACATCCAGAGGTTGTGACTGTGAGTCGAGCGGCTTTCTGTCAACATGTCTGCTTCAAACAGTTATAAGGCAGAAGAAGTGGCACCGCCTGGTGAAGAGCATGCTCCCACCACATCTGAAGATCAATCAAGAGGCTCTTCATCTTCTACAGGTTGCTGGCGAGGACTTGGCGGTGCAGTTCCTCTCCACCTTCGCACCGTCACACAGTGTCAGTGACCGTCCCATGTCCAGGGTACAGCTGGCGCGGGAGGGAGCTATGCAAAAGGGTACGGACCTTATGCGTAGTCTCCGCCGACAGTGGGTGAGGGAGTCGCAGGGCAAGACAGCCTAAAGCCGCCTCACAAGTCAGGCGAGCATACTGGGTCGGGGTGAAGACTAAGCAGACTCTTCAAAAGAAGTGCGCTGATTCAGCGCAGGCAATGCCTTGCATTGCCAGTGTCAGTCTTCAATAGCAGAGGGCGTTCTGCGTGAAAATCCCATGGAAAACATGAGCACTGTGCAGCTTTCAATGATTCAAAGCCACGCAGCAGGCAGTGCACTGTGCGCTCTGAGCATCATCCTGCACATTTGCCAGGGGTTAGCTTCGCTGGCGAGATGGCGCACGCGCAGGCCATCTCCCGACTGCCTGTTGTGTGTTGGTTGGTTGAGCATTGTCTCTTGCATTTTGTTGCACGAACTCTGTCTTCTGAATTTGAGTGGCTCTGTTTATGACAGAGACAATTGAGATGTTGAGCTTGGGACTGTCTGGCAGATGGTCTTGCGATACAAAGCAAGCACAAAACCCGCAACGCGCGCAGCCTCCACGTGTGCAGTCCACATCCCCTTTTGTCATTGTCGGTGCAAGTTGCACATGCCACTCTGTCGTTGTCAGTGCATATTGTATATGCCACACCGCCATTGTACAGCGTGCCCTGGCAGCGCAAGGTCAGGAGCCGGCTTTGCTGATTTTAGAGTCAGACGTTGGACTCAAAGCACTCTCCACATTAGGCGGTTGGCCTGACAGCTGCTACAAAGGTTTGCGTAGAGGCAATAGCACACAAAGGCTTCTGGTGCATTCTGGGGCCGTCCGCGCAGCCATGGGCATGTGCATTTGGCAACCTCAACTGAGGGGAACCTCAGAAAGCACAGAGTTTGCCTTCAGTAGGTCAGTGCGTGAAGTAGTAAAGAAAGGAAAGTAATTACTTTTTGTGGGCTGCTGCCACGGCAACCTCGACACGAACTAATCGTTTCCCCGTAATATAAAAGGGCGCCTCCCCCCCTCTAAGTAAAAACCCGCAAGAGGGGTTTTAATATTGCGGGGCGGGTTCTTATCGTTTCTCTGCAAAAACAGCCCTCAAACCTGAACCCTCAAGGTTCCGAGGCTCCCCGAATCGGTACACGCTTTGACTTTCCAAGGCGGCCACTGCCGGACCGGGTTTGGGGTCAGGGGGGGTTGTTAAAGTAGTGGGTGATTCAATACTAGGGGGAAGCGATTAGTTTCCTGGAAACTACTGAATTTGGAGGTTCCCGTCACGGGAATCTCGAAAATAAGTTTGCCTTCCCGTGACGGGAACCCCCAAATTAAGTGGTTTCCCGGAAACTACGGAATTTGGACACCTCTTAAAGGCAAGCCGCTGATCTTGGAGGTTCCCATGACAGGAACCTCCAAATTCAGTAGTTTCCCGGAAACTACTTAATTTGGAGGTTCCCGTCACGGTAACCTCGAAATTCAGTGGTTTGCCTTTAAGAGGCGACGTCCTCTTAAAGGCAAACCGCTTCTTTTCGAGGTTCCCGTGACGGGAACCTCCAAATTAAGTAGTTCCCCGGAAACTGCTTAATTTGGAGGTTCCTGTCACGGGAACCTCCAAATTCAGTAGTTTCCGGCAAACTACTTAATTGGGAGGTTCCCGTCACAGGAGCCTCGAAAACCAATGGTTTGCCTTTTCTCAAAGGCTGATTTTGGAGGTTCCTGTGACGGGAACGTCAAGAATCAGCAGTTTTTCTTAAGGTCGTTTGCCTCATTGTAGGGTTTGTGTCAGTAAGAGTGTAATTTCCTCCCGCTCAGGATGCTTGACCAATGAGTGGCTTCGTCATCGAGGAAGATCTTGGCTTCAGTATTCAGGAAGACTACGAGGAAGAGATCAATTTTGAAGACCCGCTCCTGGATTTGGGGTCAGAGCAAGCAGAGCAGCCCACGTTTGAGATCTGCGATGCGGAGCCTGCAGGGATGGGAGATGAGTTCTGTGATGCTTCCGACAATGTAGATGCCGTGGTCAGTGTCAGTGGGTGGAATCCTGGGTTGGACGTTGGGCCTTACGTTTCCCGGCAGGAAGGCAGGAGGGCGAACCATGTTTTGTTTCGAATAGCCACAACGTTTCACGGCAGGGCTTGCGTGCTTGGCAGGGCTTGCGTGCTTTTCCCTGTCCTTGGACAGGCCTGGATGCACAAGGTCAAGTGCTCCTGACCAATGTGTTTCTGAACGTTGGGAAACTTTCCAAGAGGCTCATGGTGGAGATTTGCCAGAGCTTGGGAAACAAGTGCCCGGCTTTGCGGCCCCTTGCTGCTAGGACCGCAAGTCATCTTCTCGGCATCAATGGCAACACAGTGAACTCGGTCTTCAACCAGATACGCCGTGCCTGTTGGATGCCAGTCGAACTGAGCAGAAACCTTTGTCCCCGACGACAGGCGCAGTCTTCAGTGTCAGTGTCAGTGCCTGAGTCAACGCCTGCAAATCCGGGACGTGATCGTGAGGAAATTTTTCGCTGTTTGCTTCGAGAAGCGCTGTTTGCTATTTCGCACGGCGAATCCACGGACTTCTTTGTCCAGAGCCTGGCCAAGTTGCGTCTTTACGGGATTGATGTCGGAGATAAGTACGCTTCACGGCAGTTTTTGCAACTTGTGGAGATGTCCTGTTCACGACTCCTGCAATTGCAAGATGCGCACAGCCTCACTCAAGTTCTCCCTGGCTTGAATGTGCTTCCTCCTCTTGCCATTTGTTATGATGGGGTCTCTATCGGAAGCGGCATGTTCTCCCGCTCAGAGAGCTTTGAGGTGGTCATTGCGTCTGTGTTGAACACGAGCACTGGCATTCTGCAGCCATTTTTCATAGGCTGTCCGTCGGCAGGACTCAGCCACACCGGGGAGGCACAGATGCTCTGTGTTGCCAAAGCGCTGGAGGAACATCCGGCCAAGCTGACAGCAGCCAACTTGCGTCGACGGCTGGTGGCTATGATAGCTGGTGATGGAGCAATCGCCCAAGGCGGGCCGAGCGCAAGACATTCATCGACAGGCTCTGCAAACTTGCTTTCGCGAAGCATATATCCAACGCAGCCAGTGACAGAGCAACTTGTTCAGTGGGAAGTTTATCACAGGTCAGAGTCAGCGTTTCGCTACAGCATCAGCCAATGCGAGCCAGCGCAGGAGCTGTTCGCCCTGGCTAAGGGCATGTCCCAGCAATTTGGATTCGGCTTGGGGCGCGTGCTTCTGCGCGCTGTCGCTTCGTACGCTGACAATGACAAAGGTGCTGCGGCAGACGCAGGCGGAACACGGCAAGGTGAGAGTCTGATCCGGATTGCCGATAATTTGGTCCAGAACTTCAACACGTATGGCCTGGCTCTGCACGCAAAAATTGCACGCAAGAAAGAAGGCCATGGGGGCACAAGCCAAACCAAATTGGCTGTGCTTGGACGCAGACTGCTGAGCATCGACTTTGTCGTGTTCCTGTCTTGCTTCAAGGACCTCACTGTACAGCCTTACCGATTTAGGCGTTTAAACTCTGCAGGGCGCTTGCTTGCTGACATTATGCTAACCCAGGTAGTGTGATTTTTTACAGATATTTGCCAAGCCTAAGCCATAGGACCTCATGGTGCGTCAGCGGCTCTTCGTCTTGACCATCCAGCGTCAGTCAGATGTACCTTGGCAGCCTCAAAGGGCGTGGGAACACAAGCAACGAGAAGCCAGCGAAGACCTGATTGACCTCAAGAAAGTCAGGGTCTTTGCCAACATCGTGTGTCTGATGCAACATTATGCAGATCATTCTGATGTGCAGCACTTTTGCCACGCCTGGTCTTATACCAGAGCGGGTCGGCGCTTCCCGCTTTTCATGCGTCAGATCTTCAACATTGCTGTTCTCCGAACATTTTTTGGCGTCCAGTTGCAGGTGAACGAGGACATCAGCGATGACCAAACGATTTGCACAACTCCCAGATGCACCTGTCGCTGGCGAATGTCCAGGGAGAAGTTTAGACGCCGTGCAATCACATTGCGCATTCGTGGGTTGTCTGAAATGTAAGTTTTTAATTTGTATATTATTTTGTGTATATTTACTTATTTACATCTATTGTATTTCTGGTTTTCCATACCATGGAGGAGAGTAGGGGCACGTGTAGGCCAGGTTTTCCTCTCTATATTAGTTTTGAGGTGGACGTTCAGTGTCGGTCTACGTGCCAGAGTATGTGGCATCTGCGCGCATGGCAAAGGCTGATGCGGAGCGAGACTTGCGAATGGACCCTGTGTGTGTGCCGCTGCGCTACGACGTGTTTACCCGCCCACCTGCAAGGCTGTGCAAAGTTAACCTCCGCCCAACAATAGTTTTTTGAGCAGGGCTGAATTACTCGCCCAAGACCCACCAGACACCCTTCAGGACAGAGCTGCAGGGCATCAGCTTGTTTCAGAGGCACAAGTACCAGTGTCAGACCTCGCGCTACGCCCCACACGTGCAACAAATGATTCAGCAGGGGCTGGCCTCGGCAGAGGCGTTCCTTTCATTGCTCCACTCAAGCTATCAGGAGTACTGGCACGATGTGGGTGTGCCGAAGCATATCAGTGACCTTTCTGCAGACCTCGCCAAGATATGGGACTTTGAGAACATGTGTGAGAATAGAAGTCCTGACGAGGCACACCTCGACAGCTTGGATCGTGTCTACGCGACATTGAGACAACGACTTGCCTTGGTTCGCTGGCCCCAATCCCCTGAGTTTAACTATGTCAGAAAGGAGTGGCCTCTGAGCAAGGAGTTGCGCAGACAGTACAAGGTCCTTTGGTACAAGGTTCATCTCAACCGCACACTGTGGCTTTCGCCCCGTGAGTGTCAGGTGTGCTTGGTGAAGCCGCCCTCCATACTTGTGACACTGCTTGGCCGAAAGCTGCAGGAGCAAAGCCCGGTAAGACGTGCTATCAAAGCTGTGGACATCACATGTGTTGTGTTCAGCATTGCAACTTTCCTCTGGAAGCCACCCAGAAGCTTCAATGTCCGAGCCGAGTCCATTGCTGCGCTGAAATGCTGTGAAGGAGACACATTGCAGCCCGGGGCTTTTGCCATCATGAAGAAGGCACCATTCAAGCAGAAGCTGGTCTTCGTGCTTCATGTGGCTCACACCGTGGAGCCCGCCTCCGTGGTTGCAACATTTTGTCTGGATCCATCCTTTCATCGGTACAAATCCACCCAGTTTGGGGAGACTCACTGCTGGCACGCTACCTTTTTGTTGGCTGTGTCTGCGACGTGTCAGGGGGCGAGCAGCGTTTGCGAGCGAATCGGAAGTTTCCTACATGGCCTGGAGGCCGGGGAGAGTGTCATCCACCCGGCCCGAGTTGCTGATCGCTTGCGAATCAAAGTGGCCCAAGTAGAGGCCAGGCGTTTTTCATGCCAGTCAGTCAGTCAGATAACCGACAATAAAATAATCCGAGCATTCCAAACCCCACGCTTCGAACTTGGAACTGAAGTAATGCACCCTCTGCGCCATGAATTAGGCGATCGGTGGAGGTCGAGACGAAGCCCTCATCACCGACCTCCTGGAGGTGTTTCGAACGCACAAAGATCCCACCATTAAGCGGCGTGCCATGTACACCAGAAACCAGCGCGGGCTGGAGGCTGGCAACCAGACGTTGCATCGCCGGGTGGAGGCGTCAAATGCCAAAGCCACCTGGTCGCTCCACGACCTGGAGCCCAGTGCCAGTGTCAGTGACTCTGACATCAGCGCTGCCCTGCATCATCTGCTGACGCACGCAGCCGAAGAACGGGCCCACAATGAGGAGGTTCATGCTCCAGTGTCATTGGATGGTGCCACACGGGCTGCCTTGATGAAAGTTGTCAGTCAACGGGGTGGCAGATTGCAGGTGGACTCTTTGCCAGCCTTTGTGAGAAAGGGTCCTGGCACCAAAACTCCATTGAGGTCAGTGGGCAGAAAGCGCATGTCGGAGTGGCTGGAGTCAGAGGAAGGTCGGGCGTGGAAATCTCAGCGCGAGGAGTTGCCACTTGGCTTGCTCAGCCTGATATTTTTCACCGTGCCACTAGGGTTACTTTGCAACAGCCTCTTTGTTTCTGTGCCGCGCCACAATTTTTTGGGAACAGACATGTTGAGGTGGAAGAGTTTTTCAGAGCCAGTCGTCAGACCGGATGATGACTGAACCGGTGCTGCAGAGTCAGGGTCGATCGCATCTGGCTGGCTCCAAAAGATGCCTTCTTTCAGCGCCGAGCCCTACCCCAATATTGCAACGCCCAGAATGTCAGTTCCAAAAAAGCTGACCCCAAAACCCGGTCCGTCAGTCGCTCTCTACCCATAACCGGAAGCCTTAATTGCTTAACCCTTCAGTTCCCCCCCCCACCCCTCGAGGCAACCCAAGACTTGCGTCCCCTTAGAACCTTCGCGAACGACCCTGAACCCCTAAAACCGAAGCCCTATTCAAGGATGGGCTGTTCGGATTCGGATTTTCGGAGAAGGGATGAGGCAGTCGTTACAAAGTCCCCGCCGCAGGTCCCATCCATGTCAAGTTGCACTTGGCCACGCGCTCAGAGGTGCCTGCCGTGCAAATGCGTAGCGGCTACTAAACTTCTTGAAGAGAGAGTCGCCTGCAACGCTTATGTCCAGTCCGTGTGTCAAGGTTGTCGCAAGAGGTCTTTCTTCGCCTTCGTTGCCGCCCTCTCAGCATTCAAGTCAAATTCCACTTGGCAATCTAAACCCTGTAAACCTTCTAAACCCCAAACCCCTCAACCCCTGACAAATCTCAGCCCTGAGCCTTACAAGAGGTACGAAGCTTACACCGTCGAACCCCAGCCAGCCTTGGAATCCAACCCGGGGCGCTCGCAAGTTCCTCCTTCCGCGCGGGTGTGTTTACTGGCTGCTAATGTCTCGAAATGAGAGTGTCACTATGCTTGTCCAGCCCGTTTGTCAAGGTCGCTGTCTGCCAGCGGATCATCTTTTGCCTTCGCTGCTGTCCTCTCAGATTGCTTGTAGGCCTCAGGCGCCTATACAGCCTATAAGTCAGTACTTAAGATGAGATGCGTCAGGGTCAGTGAACGTGCCCTTCTTTTGCGCATTGCTGCATGCTGCTCGTCTCATTTCCTCGCTGTTCTTTCTTGTTTGCTCAGAGTTGGCCTTGCGCCTGGGCAGACTCTGAGCCCGCTGTGAGTCGGCTCACCATGTCTTTTGGGCAGCCTCCATGTGTGGTGGAGCGTGGCAAGTTGATGAAGTTGGAGGACATCAGTGTTGCCGAGTCTTCGGGCTGGAGGCCATGCCGCGATGCTTTCATGATCCTTGTCCTGCAGGGGTAGAGAAGAGGCCATGACTGTCAGCCAGGACCCTGGAAGAGAATCGCTGCGACCTCATTGTCGCTGATCTTCTGGAGAACGGCGTGTCAGAGAACACACGCGGTGCGCCGAAGCTCCTCATGCTGGCGGATAAGACAGGCCCCTCTGTGGACACCGATGAATCTCATCCAACAGAGTCGCTTTGCGGTTTCGGTTTTGTGGTTTATACAATTTATACAGGGTCTTAGCGTTTAGGGTTGAGGATTTTCACAAGAGTGTGGTGTTCTTGACACAAGGTTCCATTGCTTGGACGTGTGATGACTGTCAATGATTGTCCATGACTTTGCTTCTGAATTGTGAGGGGCGGGTGCTTATTGCCGACGGCCTCCACTTCATTTCCGCCCTGAAGAAAGCCTATGAGCGATCCCAAGAGGAAAAAGCCCAGGGGGTCAGTGTCACTTACGATCCCCGCTTGATCTCGGTACCTCGGTTGTGCAAACACAGGAAGAGAGCAGGCCAACATCTGCAAGTTCAAGCGTGTGCGTGCATCAACCCCATAGAATCCATAGAACAGACAAGGCCTGGGAAGAAGGCATCCATGTAGATATGATTGCCTTCACGGACGACCATCCTGATGTAAGATTCACCTGGTTCAGCAGTGCGCACGATGAAGAAACCGACAAGTGGAAGCCCACCAGCATAGTGCACAAGATCGCCGTGGTGGACAGAGCAGTGCAGCTGGGCTATTTTGCAGAATGGTTGCGACAGTGCCAGCGCAAGTGTTTTTAGTGGCTTTTGTTTGAATTGCATGTCTGAGCAAGCTGGCAAGGAAACGCAGTGTCGGTGCTAATTTGGAGGCTGCCCAGAAGCAGCTGACCGAACTCTTGGGAGCAGGAGCCAGGCCAAGAATTATGAAGTGGTCAAGGGCTTGGAAAAACCTTGACAAGACCATCAGAGATGACTTGGCCAGGTAGGGTGGGAAGAACTCATCCAGTTTTTCGAGACATGTTACACCACCTTGGCTAGATTCTAGATTGCATCTCTGCTTCGAGGTGGGAGGACCTGCCGCAAAAATGGATATTCGACAATCCATTTCTCATGGGAGAAGGTGCGCGCGTGAAACACAAACTCCCGCCTGAGTTCTGCAGGACTTAGGGATGATGGTGTTCTTAGACCACTCGCATATTGTTTCTTGTTCCTTCCTCTGTTACTGCCAGTGCCAGTTCTGACTGCAGGACTGCTCTTGACATGGCACTGAAGGCGTGCGGCCTCAACATCGAGTGTCAGCATAAGTCAACGTGTCAGTCACAGTCACTGTCAGTATCAAGACTTCTGCGACATTCTTGAGCGTTTGGCTATGCTGATAGGGACGATCATCATAGTTTAGGCAAAGCTCGTGCCATGTTTGTTATCGATGATGAGCAGATGGATTTGGAACAGCCCGGCCCATCATCACCTCCAGCCATCCCGAGAGCAAACGACGATGTCATTGACTTCAGTGAGGGCGGGCAAGAAGCAGCTTTGCCAGCCCTGTTACCGCACAAAAAGCGTGGGGCTGGTGAGACTAGACACAAGAATGACGATGATGCCCTTGTCTTCCGCGACGGCCCTGATGAGCAAGCGCGCCCAAAAAAAGGCGGGGGGGGGGGGGGGGGGGCTGGTGGGTCTAGAAAGCAAAAGAAGCCCCCGCCTGCGTCCGGCCAAGGAAAGCGGCAGCCAAGCCTGCGATCTGGTTCCAAACTGGATGGAAAGGTGCACCCGCGCTCACGACCTGCTTCCGAAGTGGATGCAGAAGTGCGGCAACTTTTCAGCAGGGGAGGCTGGGCTTCATCTTGAGAAGTCAGTCTGAGCTGATGAGCTTTCCACTTTGACATGTCAGGCAAGCTCCTCCTGGAGCTCTTTTGTGGAGCAGCCACAATTGTGCGCGCTGCCACCAGTGTCAGTCACGTGGCTGCGTGTGAGTGTGCGCCAGAGGAGCAGCAGAGCGGCTATGAGTGCACTGCGTGAGTAATAGCTTAATCTTGAGCCAAGGCAGAGCAGCTGTTTGTGCATCTTACTGAGGTCAAGCTGCGGTCGGCTTCGATATCAAAGATGGCGTGGACCTCACCCAAGCGGATGTGCTGCAAGCAGTCCTTTCGTGGATTGGGGCAGGCATGGTGCTATGTGCTACCCGGCAGGGTTAGCTCGATGCAGCCCATGGAGTTGCCCTAGATGTGTTAGTCAACTAAGAGCAATGACTAATTCAGGTATGGCTATCGCCCCCGTGCAACACATTCAGTCGTGCGAGAAGAGGGAAGCGGACCCGTGGCGTGCGCCGTGGTTTTCCAGCTGCCCTTAGGTCCGACGAGCAGCCGTGGGGACTGGCGCAGGAGAACATGAGCGATTCTCGGCAGTGGAAGCTTGTTTTTGTCAGAGTCAGTGTTCTCAAATTTCCTCGCTTTGGTCAGAGTCTGTGTCGTCAAGTCTCCCTATAGCAGGATGCTGACGCAGTCAAGCTTGAGAACGGCAACAAGTGCTTGCGGGCATGCTTGGCAGTAATCAGAGAGTGCGTCAAAGTCGGTGTCAGTGTTGGGATTGAGCAGCCAGCATCATCCATCATGTGGAAGATCGCAGAGCTCGTCGAGATCTGCGAGGGCCACAAAGGGCGGGCGATCTCGTGCACCATGTGTGCTTTCGGGGCGGCTTATCTCAAGCGCACGAAGATCTTCGTTTGGAATGCAGGTTCTGTGCCAAAGGTTCCCAGCAGCATTACATGCAAGCCGCGCAAAGTGCCTGGGCAAAAAAAATGGTCTGCTGCTTCACGGGGGTGTGCCATGAGCGCCTGAGCGGAATGAAGCTTAGCGGAAAGAAGTGTTATTTCAGCACAAAAGATGCTGAACAGTACCCTCCAGATTTTGGATCTTGGGCATTTCGCTTGCTCACTGGCTCGTGAGTGTTTGTAAACTATTGCTCCGTCCGCCGGCGTGCAATGAGTTTGGAGCACACGTGTTGCGCTTGAGTCTCTGTCTGTGAAAGCGCATTATATGCTCCGCCCAGCGACAAACAATCAGTTCTGAGCACGGCGCTGTGCTACTTTGAAGCTAACTTGCTTTCTGTCTAGATGGACAATAGATTGGCGCAATTCCATTTGCCACTGTGTAAGTTTTCAGATGCAAGATCGATATTTATTAAATTAAACCGACCGATGAAGAGCTCCAATTCCAGGCGCAAGAGGATGGTGCCAAAGGGTGGTCTGACAGCAAGTTGGCCACGCTAGCATTGTGTTTTCTTTTTATGTTCTGCGGGTTCGCTTTTCCCCCTGATCACTTCAAGGTCGGAACAGGCTTTCAAACGTGACATTTGCAGTCCACTTCAGTACCTTGCTCAGTGGCAAGCAAACGCTGTCCGGACCTTCGGCGTAGTCGCCTCTGGATCACCAGCCTTCCACAGGTTGATCGTGGATTTGCGATCAAATCAAGGACTAGAAAAGGTCCGGGGTTGCCAGTCTTCGAACACTCCACTGCATGGCCAGGGAGCCAACGACGTCGGGATCCAGGAATGTTAAGTCATTTGAGCATTTGGACTTGCGAGTTTGCTCGGTTGACTGTGTGGGGCTCACTTTGCTTATTGCACGCTCAGAAGCATGGTTGCAGGAGGCACACCAGCTGTGGAATGAGCTGAAAAAGCTCAAGGCCGGCACCCCCTTGCGGAACAGCGGCGCTTCTGCATCCAGCGATGCTCCTGCAGCTACGGTTGCCACGACAGCGCCTGACACTGACAGTGTCAGTGCAGAGAGCAAGCCAGACGTCGAGGTTGTTGACCTGTCAATGACAATGCTGCCAGAGGAGCCAGAGGACCCTGTCATAAAGGCTGCCCGGGACAAGTCGCTGGAGGAGATGGACCGCATCCATCTCTTCACAGAGAAGACGCTGCTCTTCGAAGAGCTGCGTCAGAAGATGAGCCCCACCACCAAGCTCAGTGTCCTGATAGATGCTCAAACGTCACGAAGCAAAGTGAACTTGGACTACTTAGAGGCAGTCCGGGAATTCGTCAGAGCCGCAGGACGCAAGCCGCAAGCCACAAACCTAGATTCAGCGTCAAGTGCAGACCCTGCGCGCCCCAAACCCTATACAGGACTTGCGCGCTACACGGTGTGCATCATCATCGGCCAGAGGACAGGCTCAGAAAACCTGATTGCGTTCCATGATTCGGTCGGAGTTGCTGTGTGAGCAAATCCTGGCATGATGCTGCAAGCAGGTTAGACTTGTTGAGCTCCGTTCACAGCAAAGCTGCTGCGATCTTCCGAGGGGACAGGGTGTGTATTCTCCAAATGACAACCGGAGGGCAGCTTCAGACATCCCGGTCCATCAGTGGCTTCCTTGTGTCAGTGCAATCGCAAGCCTCGCGATGCAATTATGCGGATGTTTGTGAAAGCTCGACGTCTAATATTGAATGCCCTGAAACTTGCCGAAGCCGATGCCAGCAAGTGAGGCTGTGGCAGTGGACATGCCCTACACGATCAACATCTTGAAGCACAGGGCGGCTGCAGCAGAAAAAACCAGATTGCGCTGCTTGTCCCGTCAGTGTCCGCATCGCGACGAGGCTGATAAGGAGGCCATGATGACGCCAGAAGACATCGCCAAAGCAGAGAGCGGCGCGAAGCCCGTTCTTGAAATCAACGAAGATGACAGACAGGGCGAAGCCTTTAATGTCGAGGCGCCAGGCGACACAGCTGCCGACGAGGAGACATTTGTGCCAGGCCTTCCCGGTGTCAGTGTCGATCAGACCGCCCGAGATTATCTGATCGATTTGTGGCCTTTTGCCCGTCCAGCAGGTGCCTCGGGAGATATATGTGTGTGTGTGTGTGTGTGTGTGTCTGTGTCTGTGTCTGTGTCTGTGTCTGTGTCTGTGTCTGTGTCTGTGTGTGTGTGTGTGTGCGTGTGCGCGTGTGTGTGTGTGTGTGTGTGTGTGTGTGTGTGTGTGTGTGTGTGTGTGTGTGTGTGTGTGTGTGTGTGTGTGTGTGTGTGTGTGTGTGTGTGTGTGTGTGTGTGTGTGTGTGTGTGTGTGTGTGTGTGTGTGTGTGTGTGTGTGTGCGTGTGTGTGTGTGTGTGTGTGTGTGTGTGTGTGTTGCAGCCCTGCCTGCCCCTAGGTCTAGGCCCTACATTTTAGGTGTAGGGCCTTGTAGGGTCTTGCTTGCTTTGGCTTCGAAGTTCGAAGAAGTGAAAGATCAGGGCTGAGAGGGATTTGTGACAAACGTGAATTCGCAAAAATCGCAAACTGGAACCGTGTGGCAGTTGAGTAAAGCCAAGGCTACTACACGCAGGTCATGGATGAAGTTCTCAAAGCCACTGGCTGCCACTACATCCTTGTGGTTTCCGCTTCGGCACACCCATCACCATGGCTTGCCGGGCGGAAAATGGGTGCTGACTCTTGGCTACCCATGTGCAATGTGCAGCCTGATGAGAAACACTGTTTGATGTGTCAGTTGCTCAGGAAGTCTATGTGTTAGCCGACCGCATGCGTCGCCACTCAGTGGAGCATGCAAAGGAGATTGCGCAGCAGTATTTCTACCGCAGCGCCTACGAGAGCATCAACAAAGCCACAGGTCCCCGAAAGCGGTCTCTGGGCCAGGATGACATTCAGGTCATGATCGGACCAAACGTTGGCGCCGTCAGACAGATTATCGAATTTCTCGAGGTTCCTGTCGTGCCTGGGGAGGCCTTTGCTGGGGTAGCTTGGCCGATTGTTGTGCGTTTGCTTGCTTACTGCGAATTGCTCCACTCGAAGACTCGAAGCCTCTGAGGTAGACCAGATGCCAAAGCAGCTCCGCAATCTGCTCGCCGGCCTGACAGACACAGAGCTTCAGAGACATGGCCTGTATCTGCAGAACGCCGACGATCGTGGCAAAGGTGTGTTCACCTCGAACTCGGTTCCCGAAGGAGAGGTGATCCTTCAGGCCAGCTGCTTGCTGTTCACCGGTTGGGCGCCGCTGCTCACCTTCTTGCGCAGCAATGAGGAGCACAAGGATGCAGCTGCTTGGTGCCAAAAGCATAAAGACGCTTCGGGCGGGCCTGCGCGTGGGCAAAGGGCGTGCGTGCGGGCAAAATGCCCACAACTCATGCTCATGATGTTGGGTCAAAAATGCCTCCTGAACATTCATGTTCCACGATGCATTCCAATTTCTTTTCTGGCCACGCAAGACAGACAAGGTCTTGCGCCTTGATGGCATCAACCAGTGTCAGTCCCCGAAGGCGATGTTCGCAGTGCTGGTCGGGGCAGCCAGGTATGTGAACTGCTACCACGGGGTAAAATCTGCGCCGAACGCTGAGTGGTTCCTGGACATCTCGAAAGGGCCAAACCCGGGCAACATGATGGCATTAAAATTTACACACCATGACAGCGCGCGCAGCTGTAAGTGTGCTTGTGAACTTGGTGCGTTCGCTTCAGGCTGCCTTTCCCTCAAGGCAAAGACCCGGAACAGCTGCGGCATCACCTCCAAGACCGAGATCCTCGTCAGCTACGGTCTCCAGTATGACCTCAGTGGCACCAAGCCACTCTGCTAACACTTAATTGACGTTCCTGATGGGTGTGGCTGCTCTGCCCTTGACTCCAACAAGTGTCAGGAAGCCACGCATCCAGCAGTACTTCAAGCAGTCGCCATCGAAGGCCCCAGTTGCGAAGCAGGAAGAGATGGACGAAGATGACCTGACCAGTGCGCAGTGTCAGCAGGCTGCTGCTCAAAAATCGACTGAGCATGATGCTGCAATGGATGGGGGCACTGAAAAGGAGGAGGCAGAGCCGAGCAGCGCGGCTGAGGCGAGCGAGGAAGAATATCTCTAAACCTTAACAGTTCCTAAACCCCAATCATTGAGCCCTGGGATGTTGGTGTTTGCGGTTTTGCTGGTGTTGCCTCTGAGGACAGTGGCGTGGGAGATGGGAAAGCCTGAGTAATGTTTTTGGCCGGGTCCTTGCAAGTTAAGTGTCAACTTTTGCAGACAGGGCTGGGGCTGCTGTCAAGCACGGGTGAAAGGGTGTGTGCTGCTAACTTAACTAAAAATACCTTATAATCCCTCAAGAGGAGCCGAAGCACGAGGAGGAGGAGGCGGGGGAGGTGCAGGACATCCTGGAAGACACCCTCATCAGTGTCCTTGAAGATCCTCCGTGTGAATTTCGCATGCTTCGGCGCGAGTCTGGCCTCTCCATCTGCATCTCTTCGCTGGCTGAGGTGAACAGAAGATTGCCCAAGAATCTGTTGGTCATCTTGTACCGCAAAGGCAAGCTCTTGAGGTGCAACAACGACCGTATGCCGGAGCAATGCCTGCCCTACGAGCTTCTCGTTACCGACCTTGTCATTGACCTCTCGAACAAAGACGTGCTGACGCTCAAGGAGCTGATCAAGAAGCATGGCGCCACCGCGGTGCACGGTTTCAAGTCCTTCCCGGAGGACAAGGTTCCGAGCGTCCATGAAGCAAGTGAGGGCAATGAGCAAGTTGACAAGCCACTGCTAATCCCGAGATCTTATCAGAAAACTCTGCATCTAAGGCAAGTTGGTCATGGAAGGCGGTCCTTCGTGCCTCATCGAGTGTGAGCCACTTCACTATCAGCTTGCTGAAGCCACGCACAACATGCGCAGTGTGGCTATGGCTTGGGCTTTCCAGCTGGCAGGAAAGACCCTGAAGCCTTCCGGGTTCGGGTTAGTGTCAGTGAAGTCGCGAATTTTGCAAGCGAAGGAGAGGGTCGAGCTGGAATCCTAGAGATCTGCTTGGTAGATTTGTTAGCAACCACTTACTGTAAAAACTCAGTTCGTTTCGAAGATCCGAAGCTATGTTTTCTTCGCTTGGCGCATGTCTGCCAACCTCGGCCTCAGCCGTTATTTTAAGGACCTAGATCCTCGCGCAACCGCTTTTTCTCAGTACTAGCGCCTGGAGGGTGCAGAGTCACTCAGTCCACCGCACGAGTGGTTTTTCCATAACCCCTCCTGCAAACACAAGTTCACTCAGCGTCAATGTCAATGTCAGTTTTTGCCGCAGGGGGTGCTCTATTGTCGTGCTGCAGTTCACAGCGGCGTGCAAAAGTGCGCGACAGTGTGCGCGACAGTGTTTTGCACGACATTGTTTTGCAACGTGGTTTTCTCAATCCCTTCAGTCCAGATTTTGTTCCTGCTCATGAGCAAGCCCAGGTCGGACATGCCGGCTGTAGCGCTCATGGGGCGCTGGAAAAGAACCGGCTTTGCTCTGCCAATATTCGTGCTTTTTATATAAATATTTTCCATGTAAACCGCTGCATGTTGTTATGTTCGGGTTGGGTCTTTTGGCTGGGCCTGATGGTGCCTTGACTGACGAAGAAGCAAGAGTATCAAGTCAAGAAGGTTCGATCTTCATGAACAAGTTCAAGAGGTTGACTCCTGACGGAGACTTCGGAGCCGGCTGGAACAAGGATCGGCAAACCACCCCCCCCTTCTTGTGCGTACAGGGCGTAGCTAGGGTGGGAGTACGTAAGTAGATCCGCCCTATCAACCCTAAACCCAAACCCCAAACCCTACACCCCAAACCCAAACCCCAAACCATGTATAAACCCCAAACCCCAAACACCAAACCCTAAACCGCAAATCCCAAACCCCAAACCCTAAACCCCAAACCGCAAACCCCAAACCCCAAACCCTAAACCCTGTACCCACAAACAGAAGTTGCAGGAACTGGCTGAGTTGACGATGCTCGTTGACATGGCCACGCCTATGGTGGACGTCGTGCAGGACCGTTTAGGGTTTTGGGTTTAGGGTTTTTGGGTGACCGATGGAATTTCTTAGGGTTTCGAGGTTTGGTTAGGGCGTAAAAGGGAGGACCCTTAGAAGCGACCCTTATCAGCAGCAGGCGCATTGAAGTTTTCACCCAGTGCTTCATAGAGTTGGAGGACATGCTGCGTGAAGCTGCCAGGCAGATCCATGAGGGCTCAGCTGGACTTCGACCACAACCTGGAGAAGTTGCTGTCAACCAAGCCGGTCGGGCTCAGGGAGGCCAATCCTCATCGGGTCCCGACGTTGAAGAGCTTCTTTTCTGAGTGGTACGGCCCCCATTGTGGATTTGGAGGAAATGCCGGCTTCCAATGTCTCAGGGTTCTGATTGCCGTGCCGAAGCAACAGAGAAAGAGGCAGCGGGGGAAAGGGACAGAGCGGGACGACGATAATGCCATTCAGGAGGCCTTGATGGCGTTCGCAAGGGGTCCTGTGTCCCAAGGTGGGAAGCGCTCTCGTCAAAGAGGGAGATGGCCCCAAAAAGGGTCCCTCCTTTAGTCCATTTTGTGGATCACGCTGGGAGAACCCCTCAACGTAGGCTTCTGGGTTTACGTAGAGTTTAGGGTTTAGGCTCAGGGACCGGGCAGGTATAGGGTTTACCGGATTCTTAGGTGTCCTACGAGAAGTGCGGCTTTGGGGTCGGAAGCCAGAGTGTAGGGTTCCCTAAACCACTAGAGACTAGAGACTTCCGGCCAGGGCGAATCTTACCCCTCCCCCCCATCCACATGGCATTACTGCGGCTGCATGACGAGATGCCCGAATTAAACCCCAACTCTAAGATCTAAACCCTAAACCCTAAACCCTAAACCCTAGACCCTAGACCCTAAACCCTAAACCCTAAACCCTAGTGAAATACAAAGAACATACTTCACTCTACCAATTGCCACCCGCCTCACAGGGCCTAAGGCTTCAGGCAGGGCTTGGGGGGGTAAATGTCAAACCCTAACCCTAAACCCTAAACCCTAAACTCCTAAACCCTAAACCCGAAACCCTAAACCCTGAACCCTGAACCCTAAACCCTAAGCCCTGCATTGGGACTGAGGGTTGCGAGCATGAACAGGCCCACCTGCGATACAAGCGCATCAGCGACGATGACGCTGCCAACATGCCTTCCATGCGTGGCTCAGCTGGTTTAGGGTTTAGGGTTTAGGGTTTAGGGTTTAGGGTTTAGGGTACTTAATAGCTTAAGAACCCCGAAAAAATCTTCTTCCCTATTAAAGGTGGTATAGGGATTGTTGTTCTTGTTCGTTTGGGGTTCTTAAGCAAACAGTAGTTTAGGGTACTTGTTCAGCCTTAGACCCGAAACCAAGAACAACACGTTCATGTGTCTTGTTCTAGCTGCATGTGCGCAGAGGAGAGGTTCTAAGGGCAGGGCGGTTGTGGTATGGTTATGTATGATTGGTTTCAGGTTTTCCATGGGGAGGTTGGGACATTTTCGGGTGCTGGTATCCCGCTTTGCACTTTCAAATATTACGGTCGGCTCATTCCCCCCAGCCGCGAGAGACCCTGCGCAGCCTCAGCACGTTTTCGGGTTCAGGGACGTGGCGTTCAGAGGCCTGCATGTGTTGAGCAGGGCAGGGGGGGGGGGGGGGGGGGGGGGGGGATAAGAACGTCATTCATCTTGCATCCATGCCCAAAACACTGGTGTTTACAGCGTTTTCGCCTCTTTGTACAACATACTGCACAAGGATGTGGAACAAGAAAATCTGTCACAAGCGTCCATGCCTTTCGTGACCATGCCCAAAACACTGGTATCTACAACGTTTTATGCCCAAAACACTGGTATTTACAGCGTTGCCCTGTAAGCTAAACCCTCAACATAAAACCCATGACTCGGGCTTCAAATCGCAAGAATATTTACACCAAAACTACACTGATAGTCATGTCAAAACTACTGTGAAGTGTGAAAGCCTGGCCCCCCAAATAGACGTAGTTTCCCAAAGTGCTGACAACCCAACCCAGCCGATGTTTCCTGCATGTCCTGACTTGTGTACATGCCTTCCGCACCACGCGCGGGAACGCGCCCCGAACCATGAAGTTGGAATGTAGTTTCCAGAGCTCTGACATGGACCTCCAGTCGGTCCGATCTCACTGGTCACAAGGCCCCTAAACCCTAAACCCCCTTAACCCTGAACCCTGAACCCAAAAACCCTGAACCCTAAACCCTACAAGCTAGCAGTGACAGTAGTTTCTCTTAAGCCGTGCCAATTCGTATGTAGAGCTGTCACCAAGCACAGGGGGACCCAGACTCATGGACCCAGTGAACACCTTGGTCCCTTTCAAGAGGCTACAGGAACACCCTAAACCCTAAACCCTGAGACCCGATAAGGCCACAATCGGCCGCCCTTTCATTCTTGGGATAACATTCGTGTCCGTGCATTTCGTGGCTTTATGGACCCGAAGCCCAAGGCTCTTGGTTTAGGGTCTAGGGTTAGGGTTTGGGGTGTGGGGTGTTGAAGGTTCGTTCGTTTACCTGGACCCCTAAAGTATGCAAAGCAGAAAAGCCAAAAAAAGATTTGTTTACATACTTTGCGGGGTTTAGGTAGGGTTTTCAGGAACCCTAAACCCTAAACAATAAACCCTAAACCCTAAAGCCTAAACCCTAAACCCTAAACCCTAAACCCTAAACCGAGCAACACAGAGACCGAGGCGGCCTGATCCTGCCGACCGAGTGGGAGACAGCCTATACCCCAGTTCAGTTTGTTTTTTGTTTGTTTAGAGTAGGTTTAGGGTTTAGGGTTCAGAGTTCAGGGTTCAGGGTTTAGAGTTGAGGGTTCAACTTGATTTTTTGTTGCTTTCTAGGGTTTATAGGTTCACAGCTTTTTTGGGGGGGTTTACAGGGTTTGTTTTCGGTTCTTTGGGTTGTTTGTGCTTTGTAGGGTGTATAAGGGTTGCTCGGGTTTATGGGTTTTTGTGGGGTTTATAGTGTCTTTCTATCGTTTATAGGGTTTATAGGGCTTATGGGTTTTCTGCGTAGCTGAGTGAGTACAGTTTACACTTTTTGGGATACCCCCTGTTAGAACTGAACGTGTACACTTCTTTGGTGCTC